TCTTATGCAGGGAGAGCATATAAAAATCTCTTGGCAGGAAAATGAGGAGGGCCGTAAGACACTTGAAAAGCTCTTCAGTGAACCTGTGCTGCCATTTATCCTTCCAGATCAACATCTCCAGCCTGAACCTTTTACTCAAACATTTATCATCATCATCATCACCAACACCATCATCACCATCCTCATCACCATAATCACCATCATCATCATCATTATTATTTATGGTGCTGAAGAGTGAACCCAGGTTCTTCCACATTCGTGGCAAGAGCTCTAACACTGAGTTTCACTCCAGCCCCTCATTACACTTTAGATCATTCACTTGAGCAACACGTGGATATTTCCCTTCTGTTCTCTATAGGAATCCCAGGCTCAATGTGCTCAGAGTGGAGTGCATTGGCTTTTCCAGAAACCTGCTCCTCTCCTCAATCCTCACAGTGGTTGAATTCCTCAAACAATCATCATCTGAGACTTAAATTTGGGGTTGTTCTGCTTCCCCTCTGGCCTCCTTACCTTCATATCCAATCAGTTATCAACTTGGTCGATTCTGAAGCTCAGCTCAGACCTGACCCTCTTTGTGCTCCCTAACCCTGCCTTAGCTGTGTCTCTCTTCCTCTCTCTCCTGAGCTAGAAGTAGCACCCTACTCTGTACTGCCTCTATCATTACTTGAATTGCACCATCTCTCCATAACCCATGAAATTATCTTCTCTGCATAAAATACCTCAATAACTCCCCATTCTCACAGTCCAGTCTCCTTTGTTTATTCTACATTTCCAGCTCTGCCTCTTATCCTCCCATTTCCCAGCCTCAAACACACAAGCAATCCATATGGTAACCATGCAAGATAACTTGCAGCCCCCTCCCTCCTGTCCCTCCCATGTTCTTCCCTTCCACTGGGCCGCCTTGTAGCATGCTAGTGACCCAGCCCCATCTCCTGCCCCCTGGGCCAGCACCACTCAGGTCTGCCTGGGAAAACCCTTTCATCTTGCAAGACCTTATTCAAATTTAGCCTCTTCATTGGACCATTGACCAGGCTCCTCTCCCCCATCTTGGAGTCACTCTCAGAATGAACCATGTATTCTTCCTCCTTACTGAGATAGAATTAAAAAATAGTACCTATGTTAATTTATTTACTTATATTTTTTCGTATCTTTAAATTTATTTGAATAAACAGGCAATCATGTTTAGAGTTTCATTATAAAGATTAACGAGAATGCAGATAGACCCAAAGGCTCTCTGGATCGGGTCCTCCTAATCCTGCCTGTTTTTGGTTATCAGTCTACTATCATTCTAGACTGTTCTTCACTAATCATATATCTTGGAAATATTTCCATCTGAGTGCATGCATACAGACTCACCTCTATACAGGGTAATTGCTACAGAGTGTTTCCTGATTTGAGCATAGTTAACTCTTTGGCTATTGGTGGATATTTTTTCCTCTAATATTTGGCCATAAAAATACTGCCACAATGAATACCACTTTGTATACTTCCTTATGCATAAGTGCCAAGTATTCATTTCTGCAAATAGATAGCACACAGTGGCAATATAATATATAATGTATAATTCTCCATAGTTTTTGCACGATTTTAAATTTGGGAGCCTTTTTTCCTTTTCTCAAGCATTGGTAGGAGTTCTTTGTATTTTCTGAAGAATAATTCTTAGTCTAATACACATACACGTACAAAAAGTATATGCATGTGTTTTTTCCCAGTTTATTTCTTGTGTTAAAATTTGTTTTGTTGTTGGGCTGAGGTTGTGGCTCAGTGGTAGAACACTTGCCTCACATGTGTGAGGCACTGGTTCGATTCTCAGCCCTGCATATAAATAAGTGAATAAAATAAAAGTCCATCAACAACTAAACAATATTTTAAAATATTTGTTTTGTTGTGTCTTTTATCATAAGAAATTTCATATTTTTAAGCAGTCTAATTTATCATCCTTTGCTTCTGTTTGTCCTTGTAGCCTGCCAAGCTTCTTTGCATATTTTAAATTATTCACTTATTTTTTGATATCCTATAGTTTTGTTTTTTATTGTTTAGCTATTTAAATTGCTTGGAAATTGGCATTAACATATCCAGAGGACATCATCTTATTTTCTTTTTCCAAATTATAAGCATAATTATAAATTATGGTTAATTTATCCCCAATTTGAACAGAAATACCATTTTTTAAAAATATTTTTTTTAGTTGTAGTTGGACACAATATCTTTATTTATTTTTATATGGTGCTGAGGATCAAACCCAGTGCCTCACACATGCACATCGGGCACTCTACCACTGAGTTACAGCCCCAGCCCCAGAAATACCACTTTTTATGAACCAAATTTCTAAATGTATTCATGGTTCTTTTTCTATACCTAGTGTTAGATTTTCTTGATCTATTGCTTTTTGTCTGGGATAATACCATTCCGTTTTAGTCACTATTGCTTTATCATATGCTTTGATGTCTAATAAAATATTCTTTTTTTAAAGTTGACTTCAACTAGATATTTGATAGTGGAATTGAGTCACAGTTGATGAATTTCAAGACCTTTTACAAAGTTTGCATTCATGCACCTTAAATGAAGTTATTAAGGAAAATCAGAAGCTATTGAGCTTCTTTGTATTCTCAAGGCCTCAAAAAACTTGTGATGAAACTTCTCTGGCTTATGCTCCATCTTCCCCTGTAACTCAGTTCTTGGAAGGAGTTATTTTGAAGGAATCACTATTTAATTTGGTTTTGAAGAAATAATGTATGTACAGTGTACACAGCTCAAAAGGGACAAAAGTGAAAGGTCACATCCCCTCCCAGTTGTTAAGGTGGGACCATTCTACTGCTTCTTCTTTAGCCTGCCAGGATGGAGGCACAGAACATACTCTGTTCTGCACCGTGTTGTTCTTATTTAACAACTGATCTTGCAAATCATTCCATATCAGCTCATATGATGCAGCTGGGCCAGGATGTACTTAACCAGGATGGCAATTTAATTGTTTTAATTACTATTTCCATAGGTATAATTTCTCACATATCTAGCATAAAAGTTCTGCATATAAAATTGTTGGCTTAAAGGGTATTTAAATTTTCAACTTTGATTTATATTGTTAAAATTGCTAAGAAGTTTCTAGAAACTCCATGATGAATCAAGACCCTGATGGCCTTTGCTCCCAGATTTCAGTCTTGCTCAGATAATGCCCAAGTATCACGGGGAACACCAGAGAGGATTTAGCTGGGAACTTGCCAGTGAGTGGAACTCTTGTGTGTGTGTTTGGATGTGTGTGTGTGCGTGTGTGTGTGTGCGTGTGTGTGTGTGTGTGTGTGTGTGCACATGCACATAAGCACACCCCTGAATGTGCCTGTAATGCACATGGCAAGAAGTTCAAGTCAGATAATTAATTAGTCCTGTTTAAAGCTCTAATAATATTAGTGGTTTGAATAAAGCTCCTTTGCCTTTATTATTCATTAGAAACTGGCAGTAAATAATAGGTTTGAATTTCACAGTCCTGAGACTGTGGATCAAAGTACAGAGCATTGCTTGAGATCACAAATGGTTATCTTTCATAACAGGAGCATGACAGGGATTTGGTTCTATGAATTGCTGAGTGGAACACCAACCTCTCCAGGGTCTAGGACAGAGAGGAAGATGGCTGGTAACCACCTCCTGAGACTGGAACACCATCTTCCACACTGGGTGGGGCACCATCAGAGGCAGGGCATTGCCTCTGCTGGGCTCAGCCTGTGCCCACTCCTAGCAGTGATTCATGTCTTTCAATTGGAAAGAGACTTGTTTCTTCACAGGAGGGGCTTTGTCTGGGAAGCAGAGGCCTGATTTGTTTTCCCTCTTTGAGCTGGTTTTAGACTGGGCACCCTCCTCTCCATTCCTCAAAGTGTCTGTCCCACCTCTCCACTTGCATCCTCACCAATGTTTGACTTTTCTGGGGGAATCATCTCTTTCCTTGTTGTGTCTTTCTGCACTGGAAGCAAAGCAAACACTAAGCCCTCTTCACTTCTTTCAAGTGATGGGGGCAGAAATAAGATAAGCCCTTACCTCTTTCTTTCCTCCCTTCTTTAGCATCTCTTACCCCTATTTTTGTAGCTCTTCTTACATTCTGGTTGTCCCCTGGGGGAAAAGAAGAAGCCCTGCCATTCTGCTCGACACAGTGTCGCTTCTCTGGGACATAATCCCAGCCCAACACTGCTTTCTTTATTCCTTCAGTGGCTTCTTCCAGCCCCTCTGACTATCATACGCCCGAGGACCCTTGCATCTCCTTTAGGTTTGCTTTCAGAACCTGCTTTACCCAGCACTCTGGGTACAAAAGAGAAGCTTAGAACTGCCAATTAACCTGGACAGAGAAGGTGCGTTTAAATAAAGCATGAAGCTGGGTGTGGTGGCACATGTCTACAATTGCATCGGCTCAGGAGGTGGAGGCAAAAGGATCATGATTTCAAAGTCAGCCTCAACAACTTAGCAAGGCCCTGAACAACTTAGTGAGACCCTGTCTCAAAATAAAAAATAAAAAGGGTTAGAGGTATAGTTCAATGGTTAAGCACTCCTGGGTTCAATCCCCAGTATTGGAAGGCACCAAGATCTTCCCTGCCCCATTTTGAAGAATCTTATGTCTTCAAAGGCACAGGTCATGTGGCTGAATTAAAAGCCATTGTGGGGGCCGGGGTTGTGGCTCAGTGGTAGAGCCTAGTATGTGTGAGGCATTGGGTTCAATCCCTGGTACCATATAAAAAGGAAACAAATAAAATAAAGGTATTGTGTCAATCTACAAATCTATCTATCTATCTATCTATCTATCTATCTATCTATCTATCTATCTATCTATCTGTCTGTCATCCATTTATCTATCTATCTATCTATCTATCTATCTATCTATCTATCTACATAAAGCTATTGTGTTGGTCTCCAGAACACAGGCCATCAGCCATGCCTTGTAAGGGATGGAGGTTGGGTCCTGGTGCCTTACAAGGTCCTGGAAAATTAAAAACCAAAAATAACATTAGGCAACACAGTGGTCATTTACAATAAAAATTTATTAGGATGAAGTCAAATTAGAAAACTCCATGCTGCCCCACTTGCCCTATTTACCTGGAATGACAAGAATATACTTAGTGGAGTATAAATCAATTTGTGCCTCAGATTCTACTATTTGGAAAGCCAAAAAAAATTTTTTAAAAATTAAAAAATCCATGTTCATAGCGGTGTACCCGACACCAGCACGGGTAACGTTTAAGGCTTAGCCAACGGTCAGCAAAGCATACATTAGTTATAAGCTTTGAGCCTGAGGAAGACGTGACTCCCGCCCTCCCCCAAAAGCAGACCCATCACATAGCCAGGACACCTGAGTCGGGAGCCTGCTCTTTGGAGTCTAGTATTGACATCTGTATTTCAAGAGAAAAACGAGCTTTGAGGTATCTTATGGCTTCAAAGGCACAGGTCATGCAGCTGAATTAAAAGCTATTGTGTTGGTCTCTGGAACACGGGCCATCAGCCATGCCTCTTAATGGGGGTCCTGGTACCTTGTCCCGATCCTTGGTATGATCCGCATGTCATCAGCCTGCTGTCATCAGTTGCTGCCCCCAGGTTGCTCACAGCTGTGAACCTGAGGGCAGGTTAGGGCTCCTGCACAGCTTCCTGCCCGGTGGAGAGCAACCCTATCACCCAGCATACAGAGGAGACCCGCCGCATAGCCAAGAAGTGGTTCAAATACAAGCGAGGAATGAAGGCCTGTTCTTCAGGCGAAGCATGGGTATTTGAAGAGAGATCAGCCTGGGAAGGGGTCTTACCATGCTGGAAACTGACCCTGCTTTTGGCATCACCACCCCCAGCAGTAAGCCACCAGCTTCAAAAGGATGTCAAGAAGAATAGTCGGTCCCCAACACCATGTGGGTTCTTTAAGGCCACCAACAGTGGGTGTTGAACACATATGACCCCGGGGTCATTTAGAACAAGTGGGCGTCAAGTCCTAAAAATACAAAACTTACCACTTAATGAACAACTGGACATTCCCTTTGGCTTAGGCACAAAGTGTTTACTTTCAGAAGCTCTTTTTCTTATTTTTAAATTCTTCCCCATGAAGGAAATAACATTGGAAATCCAAGTGCAGGTCCCAGACAGCTGCCTGTGGAGCAGCGGCACCCTACAGACCCAGCACCCCTATCTCACCACCCTGACTCAGCAGGACTCCCACCTCCCTGCTCCCATCCCACCCAACCCAGGAATAAACATGGCTGTGTCACAGAACTAAGTTCAGATGCATCATACAGAGGGCTGATAAGACTTCTCAGTTTTGGAGGTGCCAGAAGATACTCCTGGCAAGGTTTTGATTCTCTCCAATTTATGCTCTTCATGTGTTTTTCAGCTTCTGCCTTCTCTGTCTGGCTCCTTTTCCTCAGTCAGCCCAGCCTTACTAGTGATTATATCTGTGCTCCTCATGTCATTAATTCATTTGGGATTGGCCTGGAGTCTGCTCAAGCTTGAGTTCATAGCCTCCCAGGCCAAGGTCTCCCTCATAAATGTTTTCCTTGATTGGTGTCTGGGGCGAAGTTTTCTGGTCCAGGCCTGGCCTTGCAGGAGGACGGCAGGACGAGGGACTTTGCTCTTGGTAATTCATGGCCAGTTCGTCCTGGTTCACAATGCATTCTGCATCGTCCTCCTTGAGCTCTTCCTGGTTTTGGAAAGACAATGAGAGAGACAGGTCACTTTATGAGGAAGGCAGAAACCAGTCCACAAGTGTAGGACCATAGAGGCTTACTTTCCCTTTTCCGAACTGCCCTGGCTTGCCAAAGCAGGTTTCTGCCATGGGTGTGGCTCAGCATTTCCCTGAATCAGCATTGAAAACTTGGCTGTAAACATAGCCCAAGCCCAAGCAGAGAGTTGTTAGACAACCCACGCCAATTAAGCACCACCTTGGTGCTCAAGGGAGTGAAAATGGAATTCAGACTTTCCTCATTGGCACCCAGTGACATTGGGAGGAATTAGGAGTTAGCACAAGCTAACCTGTTACCTCAGAGTAGGAAAGGTGTCTCATGTTGGTTTTTAAATACTCCTGACTATCCTGAAGTTCTCAAAACACAAGTTTGGTTATACTTTACCTTCAAAGGTTCTCCGCTCTGCAGGGTTTTGGGGATGAGGGTCACAAGACTAGATATGATAGGAAGTCACCACTGTGGAATGTCACAAGCTAACAATAATCTTCTTCATACAGAGATTCCCATGTAACAGCAGAGTTTCTGCTTCTATTGGGTTCTGGAAGGCCACACTAAATTACTTGTAGAGTGAATGATGGTTAGAACCCCTGACCTAGCCCAGGGGTTCCAAGTTTGAACTGGCACCAGGTAGAGAGCCTGTTAAAACACAGATCATTGGGCTCCCAGCTCCAAGTTTCTGAGATGGTGCCTGAGAATGTTCATTTAGCAAGTTCTAAGTTATGCTGAGGCTGCTGGTATGGAACATCTTGCAGATGTAGTTTTCTGTATTTATAAGGGGTGGCCAGCTGGACAACCTCTAAGGGTACTTCCAACTCGAAGGCTCTGCTCTGACACTCTGATTTGCTGGTAATGATTCTAATTGCTTCTCAGCAATTTTTTATTCCACTCCCTTGAGCTATAAAGCACGGGCCTAATAATCAAAAGCTCAGAACGCAGCAGTTTGTGAGGACACATTACCTCTTTTACATTTTCCAAGTTCATTTTATGGTTAAAAATATTGGTAACAATAAAAAATTGCATTTTTTTAAAAAGAAGAATAAGCCAACATCAGCAACAACTGAAAAGAGAAGAGAAATGCTTTTTGGAGCAGTGAATTTAAAAAATGTTGCCTGCTCAAGCCGGCGAGGAACAGCTGAGGTTTCTGGGCTCATCAGTATTCACGAAGCTTGTCCACGAGAATCATTACTCACCCCATAGGCCTGGGGACTGGTGAGCAGCCTGGAAATCGGACCGCACCATTCAGGTAAGGTTGTGGTCAGTGGAGGGCCCGAGTGGGTTAAAACTGGTTTCAGGTATCTGAGAGGCCTGTTAAGGAACACTGGTCAAAAGGGAGTTAGGGTTTCGTTTCTCACGCAGCAAAAACCTCTGCATGCTACCAAGGAGACATTTATGTTCACCTTTAAATCTCCTACGCCCTCATTCAGGAAGCAATTTGGCCTGCAAAAATTGCTGTTTATAATCTTTGCTCCGCACACTTTTCCAGCTCTCCTGATAGCCTTTCATCATGGAGAAATGGTAAATGGTCCACGCTGGGTTGGAGTGAGGTGCAAATATTCCTCTTCCCTCCCCCACTCCATGTCTCATCTGCTTAGAGGAATCATTCTTAAGAATTACTTAAACAATAGCATGAAAGATGGTGTTTTCTTAAAACCGCACGCACAGGGCTTAAACCACCCGTCATTTTCACAAAGAAGCGAGAGGTATTTCATAAAATGTTCAGTTATTTCAGAGCTGGATAGTGAACACAGATTGTTTTCCAAGGTACTTTATTTTCACCATTTCAACACAGTCACTTTATCCTCCGTACATCAATGCGTTTCTATACAAAATTATGTAAATAAGCCGGTGCCAGGTTTATCCTATTCTCTAGCACCTGTCTTTCTCATCTCTTCATCCTAAAATGCTCAAACCAGTTAAAAGAAAAACCTGCTCATCTGAAGCCACTGTGTTTCCCTCCAATCTATCAATAATGAAATCCCCAGAGGCTGCCTCAGGTTGCCTTATTATTATTTTTTTTCGTTCAAAGAAAAGTAGTGGAATTATTTCACCATTCCATCAGAAATGACTTTTAAGCTTTATATTATTTCCTCTACTGGAGAATATTTCACCTCATCAACTTTCCAAAAAGCTGTAATAAAAAGGAAAAGGGAAAAATGGAAAGCGGTTAACACTGGCTGGCTTGTGAAGATCCGCTTCACCCCAGGCGCTCAGGGTGCGAGCATATCTTGGAGATGACTACAGGAGATGACACTACAGGAGCCTGTCCATAGCTGTAGGGAGCCACTTTGTCATCCCTGTGATGCCCTGAGCATGTGGGCACCGAGGGAGGATGCAGCCCAGAGGGGACCTGGAATCCGGTTGCCTCTGGTTACCAATCATTGGGCACCACGGCAGCAGCGAGACAGGGGACACCCGTGCACACAGCCTGGTTGCAAGAAGAGCACAATGACCGCATAGATGACTCAGAGAGTTTGCAGATCCGACCAAAATGGAAAATTTGATTCCTGCTTTCAGACAGGCAGCTGTTGAGCCCAGATAGGACCAAGGAAAGAAAATTAAAGTTCAGAGACTGACATTTGCTCTAACATCTTGGAACTACACCTACAAATCTTAAAAGCCCATGATGATCTTCTATTAATTTTCATTAGAGTGTTATTTCCTTCATTTTATGGATGAAGGAATGGAGGCCTAGAGGTGTTATGATTTTAAATAATCCAAAGACGCCCTTTGCTACTTTGAACCCACCTTCATCACCCAGAGAGGAAGATAATTTATTTATCAGGACAGAATCGGGTGGCCAGCTAGGTTCTCTACAGAGCCAAGCTTACAAGGCTCAGCCTGCTGGTGATCTGCAGCCCCTCACAGGCTGGGACACGTGAGGATGCACCATCTTGTTAGGGTTTACAGAGGGCACAGGTCTATGAGAATGTCTTTTAGGAAGGTGAGGAAGACAAGATATATGTACAACTGAAGTTCCGGCCAACTTTATTTCTAGATGGAAAAGTGTCAGCCAGGAAGCAACATTTTTAGAGATGTCATTTGAAAAAAAGTAAGAGGCTTGTCAAAGATGTAAGAGTTTGAGAGAGGCCTGGGCAACTTCCACTGAGTTTCTCAGTATACTGAAAAATCAAAATGCCAAAAGCCAGGATACTGTTACATAAGCAAAATGCAAATAGAGAACTGCGTAATGAACATTTTCTTCTTTTAATCCTGAAGAGGTATCTCTTTAAATTAGATTTAATGCTTTTGGAGCTATCACTGAAAGGCTCTGGGATTTTGACTTAGAAGACCTGGACATAAATGCCAGCTCTCCCATTTTACTGACCAAAGGAACTGTGGCCTACCTTTTTTTTTTTTTTTCCTGCTTAGCCTTGATTTTTTTAAAAAAATGAATATTAACTGAAATAACATATGAAGAAGTAGTTTCAAACTTTGATATACTATTCAAATGTTCCACTTAAAAAAATTATTTTTCGCAGGCTGGGGTTGAGGCTCAGTGGTAGAGTGCTTATCTAGCATGTGTGAGACTTTGGGTTAGATTCTCAGCACCACATATAAATAAATGAATAAAATAAAGGTCTGTCAACAACCAAAAAAATATTTAATAATTTGATTTTTATGAGCAATGCTTTTTGGAGAAACTACTGTCCCTTTCATTGTTCAAATAATGGGGGGAACTTGATACTGAGGGTAGAGATTCCAGCTCGGCTTTCTGAGCATTTGGGGGTAGCATTGGAATTCATAGGCTGTTAAATGGGTAGAAAATTTAAGCTGATCCTACACTCAAAACAGCTATCTTGGTTAAATATTGTTGGTCGGGGGCGGGGGCCAGCATGAAGTGGTTGGCAAGGAGAAGGGGGCAGAATTTGTTGGTGTTAGACTCCCCCCAGGGAGCACGGTACCATTTTGGCAGTTCTGGTCCATCAATAGCTATGGGTGGGCGGGATGAGGCATGGCCTTTGTGGATACAGAGAGATGTATAAGGGACCAGCCACAGTCACAGAGGAGGAGGTGAGGCAGGTCCACACTTACTAGCATCTAGTTTGGCCCAGTGCTTGGTGCTTGATGGACGGCTGTTGAATTTTTGATAAAGGAAAATATTCAGAGGTGGGATGAGGGATGGAAGCTGATTCTGAGCAACTTCTAGAGCAGGACAAAAAAAGGGCAGATGATAGCCACGAAATGAGATTTCCCTGAGGATTAAAGATGAAGAAGGGTCAAATCAAATTTGGACAACTTAGGTCCATGTTATAGACAAAGGAGACCCCAAAAGGGTGGTAGCATAAAATAAGGTGCCTGAAAATTACCTTTGTGTTTCATTTACTCATTTATTCTGTTATCACTCACCTGCTCTTGTTTTTTATTTCATATGTCCAACGAGCAAGGGACAGACAAGGCACTCACACAAGGAAAGTATCCATTCTATTATGAGATGGAAAACTTCTTTGTCTCCAGCCTGTGGCCTCCTCGAGAGCAGAGGTATCCACTTCCCCTGGACACAGAGCTTGGCACATTTTAGATGCTCAAAACAGTCGTTGAATTAACAAAGACAATAAGATCAGAGAGGGCAGATAAATTACTCAGTGGAACCCAGCCAATTAATTTATGGCAGAAGCAGGCCTGAAACTAGAGACTCGTGCATCACATCTAGCTGTCACCCTCCTGTCACAAAGACCCTGAGTAACTGGACAGGTCTAATAGAATAACTGATGTGAAATCAGGGAATCAGTGACTTTCCGGGTTCTTCATTGTTAAGCAGTGTCTGGACAGTGGCTGTATCTCCAGAGTTACCTGAATTATTTAAAAGTCAGAAAAATCTTTGGATCTACAGAAAAAAACCTCAACTTCAGTTTTTTTACAAAATGTATTATTTTTCTCATCAGTTTCTAGTATAAGTTTGGGGAGGGAGGTTCCCCCATTGGGTATTTCTGGTATGGTTAGTTTTTGCTTCTCTAATAAGCTAGAAATACATCGAGACAAAACATAAAGCTCTTGGGGGAAAAACAGTGACTTTTCTCATCTTTAAAGGGCATAAGTTTGGACATGGAAGTTTGGTTCAGGACGAGTAAAAGCTGCAACTCTAGTCAGGATCTAACGTGCGTGAAATAGGAAAGACAATCAGCAAATGAATGAGAAGCTCTGAGAAGGTCCAGAGCTAAATTTAGCGCTTAACTGCATGAACATCCGAAATACCCGATAACGCTAATTTCTCTCTCTCTTTTGTTTGTTCTGGTTTTGGTTATTTTAAATCATCATGTTTTATTCATTGTAAGTGGCTAAAACCAACCACGGGTGCCCAGCTTGCTCAGGTTTCTGCTTCGTATAAAGTAGTTTTGCCTGGGTTGCAGAGAGGCAAAAACCCCAAGCAAAGATCCATCTCTATAAATGGACTATGTGCCCTTGTCCCCAATTCATGTGTTGAATGAAACTCTGGGCATCCCCTCCCTGACCCTCGACTGAGGTTGTTTGGAGGTGGGGCCTGTGGGAGGAAATTGGAATTTGAGGAGGTCATGAGTGTGGGGCCCTTGTGATGGGATTAGTGCCCTTATAATGCTGGAGAGCTTGCTCTTTCCACCTCAAACACCCTGTGCGGGGACGTAGGGTGAAGGCTGCCATTGGTGAGCCAGGAAGAGAACCACCCACCATGGAAACCCAACCATGCTGGGCACCCTCTTCTTGGATTTCCAGACTCTGCATCTGTGAGAGAAAATCAATGTCCAATGTTGAGTCCCCTCGACTGTGGATTCTGCTATAACGGCCAAGATGACTCAGGCATCCCTTCTCTCTGGGCCTCTTCAAAAGTCTGGTTTGAGAGCCCCATGAGCTACGTTCAGTCTTGTCTTTCCCTCAATCTGTCTCATGGTGAAGATCGTCTAGGCTGATAATCTTGGATGGGATCATGCCTGTCCTGGAGATTTGGATTCAGAGATCTAGAATGTGGCCTGGGACTCTTTTTTATCAAGCACCCCAGGTGACCCATGATCTGTTGGGAGCATAGTGATCTCTCTTTGGAGAACTGCCTCCACGGGGCACTCCAACTTTCAATGGAAAAATATGAAGATATGGTTCTTTACATCCATAAGGCCATAATTTTTAGGGTGAAGATGGGTATAAAAAAAACCAACTCATTTATTTCTGAACCCAGGCCCATGTAATGGCCTTTGCCAATTGTTCCATTTTGCCTGAGGGATGGGACAGATATTTGGCTGGAGAAGATGAATCCCCTGGTGTTCCAGCTGGGAGTGGATTAATGGCACATCACGGCTCAGCTTGTGGAAGAAAACTGTACCTTTTGG